CATGTTTTATCTTAACTATGAAAATAATATATAAATAAAAAAATAATAAATAAAAAAAGAAACAAACCTACCCTCTCCCATCCCTCGAGCTTATCCTTTTTCTTGGTTGGTAATTTTCTTCAGCTATTTGATAGAGAAATAAATTTCTTTTTTCCAAATTATCGTTTATCATGAGACGATCTGACGTGACATGATTTCATGAAGAGGGTGGCATCTGCCATGCAGTGGTTGGTGGCCTCTCATTTTCGGCCTTTAGTATGTCTGCCAAAATGATATAATATATACATATACATACATAACATATATATATATATATATATATATGTTTGTCGTATACGACTGCGATCCAACTAGGGAAAAGAGAGTGGAATAATACTAGGCTACTGATCATACCTCAAAAATGAGGGAAACTCATTTTAAGTTATCATCAAAATAAAACGTAAAATAAAAGTATAAAACACAATAATGGAAGAGAAAATGAAAAATTTCTGCATAGAATTACTACATAAATATAATTGAAAGTGATTTTTCATTGCTGAAGCAATTAAAGAGGGCAGAGGATTGAATTTAAGATGTAATAATAAGATACGAACATATTTTTGCACCATTAGAGCTTTCTTAAGCAAGGATCGGTGTTTATATTACTACCAGTTAAATCCTAATGAAAGTTGAAAAATCAAAGGTAGGAACTTGGGATCTTTGGTTTCCTATATTGTCAACAGTTTTTTGGAAAGAAAATATTTGGTTTCTTGCAATTAAGTGTTGGTGTAGACCCCCGTCACGCTTGCCGCTAAGTTTGCCATAATCATTCATGGACACACTGCTTCCCATTGCAGCAATGCATTTGCTCCACCACCCTGTCACATCTGTCCCTTTTACATTTTTGGGTTGCTCTGATTTGCATGGTTACCCAGATCTGATCGGATCATTCGTTAGACCAAATGAATAAGTGATTTAATTTTTCTTATTAACAGGAATTTTAATTAATTCGTTTTAAATTATATTGAATGGACGGTTCAATTAATAAATCAATAAATCAGTTGAATTTTAAATTTTTTAATAAAATGACTTAAAATTATGATTAATTTAGCTTTTATAATTGAAACTATGGATTGTAGTGTTATTTAATTAAAATAATATATTTTAAAATAAAATAGAAAATAAAAAATTTTAAATTTTAAAAAAATGGTGTTATTTTCTCCTACAATTTATGAACAATAAAAATCAACTAGAAAAAACAGTCACTTTCTCATTTCTTTTTTTTTTTAAAGATTTTTTTTTGTTTTCAGTTCTTTAAAGTATTTAATTTTGTTTGGTTCTTTAAATTAATACGATTGAATTATTTAATTTGTATTTTGAGATTTTGAGTTAGGAGTTTTAATTTTAAATTTTTTTAAAGTTAAATTTATTATATCTTTTTAAATATATATTTTTTTCATACTTATTATATTAGATTATATATTTTAATTTTTTAAATATAAAATTATCTAAAATAAAATTTTATGATTTATCACATAATGGATTAACTTTTAAAATATATTTATTGATTCGATTGATCCAACGTTTAAAACCAATGACTCTTCGGTCCAATAACTATGCTGCTGTGTAAAACCTTATCTTCTAAGCTGAGTGGATACTCCATCAGACCTAAATATGTTGATAAAATTTGACATGGTTGTGGTGCATTTGAGCCTTGTTTTATCCTCCTTGTAAGCATCCACCCTATGGACAAGGAAATGATGTAACCACCACAGATCCAGCCGGCAGAACTAATAAGACATTTCATCAAACTTCTTGTTTATGATCAATAGGTTGATTTCTTTACGTACGGCTACAAAAATAGGTAGATTGGGTTCAGATAAGTGTGGATGAGTTTGCTTTACTTTGACAATCAAGGAATTTAATCTTCAAATTTCAGAACCATAATTTAACACTGAGGGTAATTCTCTTTTCTCTTTGCACGTCTATTTATTAAATTGTATCATGCAAAAGAGGGAAAAAAATGTCATACTAGAATCCTTTGGCGTGAGCCTTGAGTATTGATCGAGTCTATATTTTAGCAATAATTCTCTTTCCGAAAGAAACAAATAGAACGTAGTCTGCCTAAATTTCACAATTTAAACAGAACTAAATAAACGTAATGATTATATAGGCAAAAGTTGAAGGAGGAAACGTATTTATATGACAATCAATTTAACAATAGTCGAGCAGAAGATAATTGGTGTTTTGGCCACAGCTGATTTCAAGTACCAGGCCGCAGATGAAAATTTTTGCATTTCTCATTTGGAAAGAAACACATTTTGTAATCAATTAGCTTGTGTTTTGTGTTATAAACAGCATTAGATAAAGACGAATGAAATCAATCTTTGGCAGTTCAGCTGGACGTCTCCTAGCTAAGTTGCCAAAAGAATTCAGCTGTTAACCTAATATTTGGACTCCCTGAGTCCTTGATTCTTCTTCTTCATCATCAAGATTCTCATTGACTCCTCTTATCACAGCAATGGCCCTGGCACCTAGGCCTTTATCTCTAACATTATTCAATAATCTATCACAAATAGCCTTTTTGACATGTTTGAATTGAGGAAAGAGAAAGGAAAGGAAAGGAAAGTAAAGTAAAAGAATGGAAAGGAAACAAAACTTTTTTTCCTTGATTGGATAAATTTTTAATTAAAAAAAAAAAAGAGATGAAATCAAATAACTTTTGGTTTTTCTTTTAAACTCAATTTTTTTAATACCCAAATTTGGAGGAAAAGTTAGGAAAATGAAAGTTGAAAAATATTTTTTATAAAATGACTATGTTCACCTTTTTATTAATATTAAAAACTTAATAAAAAAATCTAAACAGATCACAATTAATCTGTAATTTTTTTAAAGTCATCTTTTTTTTCAAGTAAGTTTTACATATCTCTTCCAATATAAAAATTTTTTATAATTTTTTGGTGATTTGATTTTAATGAATGATTGAATGTGAATAGATATATTTTTTGAGTTTATGAGAGTATAGACTAGCTCAAAATCCATCAATGCATGTTTGTAAAATATCTTTCCATTTCACTTGATTAAAAACTATTGATATAGCAGCAATTGTGAGGTCAGATAAGATAACAAACATATCATAGTCCAAGAGTGCTCTAAAATCACAAGCAATGAAAGATTATAATTGAAAAAAATTATTATAATGAATTATTTTCTTTTTTTTTCACTCTTTATCCAAACAATGGTTATTAGAATTTTTTTTCTTTCCTTTCTTTTATTAATTTTAATTATCCAAACAATGATTACATATATCTTTTTTTTTCTTTTAAAAAACATTTTTTTATTTTTAATTTTTTTATTAATATTTATCCAAACATAACGTTAGCTCTAAGCAAGTTAACAAGCTCTTTTGTTACTTCAATGCCTCCCTTTCTTTTCAAATAATCAAAACATGCAGCTAAAATAACATGGTTGGAATGCCATCCTTGTGGGCTGGCAAACATATGCATCCGGCACCCTCCCACTTTCCATAAGCCTGTTTGCATAAGCTTGAGCCTTTTTCAAGAGCCCCTTTTTGCAATAAGTACTGATCAACAATCTTGGAACCCCAGCATCTGTATATTGGGATTCCTACTCATCAGCGATCTTCTCTGAACCATCAAGATCATCCAACTTCACCAAAGAGCTTATCGTTAACACATAGCTTATACCGTGGAGTTCCCCAATATCCTTATGCAATTTCCGCATGCGCTAAACATCCTCTTTGCCCTCAATATTGGCATATAATATGAGGAAACTTTCATAAGCTTTCTTCTTGTCTTTAGCGGTGATTCTTTTCTTCACTCTCTTCAACACTTTCGAAGCATTTTCAAGAAGCTGCGCTTTTGAGTACCCATTTGATCTGACGTAACATATGCTTGCCAATCAGTAGAGACGCAAGGATTCATCAGGAATTTCTCCATTCCCTCAATATCAAAAACAGAAACATAAGCATTCTATCGAGTGTTGTACGTGAATGAATCAAACTCGATACTCTTTTCTTGCATCTCTTGTAATAAAGGTCTAACTTCTCATATTTTCTCAGCTGTACATATACGTTTAACTTTACATTGCAAGGAAGAGTCAAAGTGGCATTTGTTTCATGGTGGCCTTTGCTTTTTCAAGGCTTCTAAAATGTGCATAGCAATTCAGGAGGACACCATAAACCTGTTTAATTTTCATGGTATCATCAGGAATACTTTCGAAATACTTCTCATCTTGTTCCAAAGCCATGAACTTTTGCCAGAGACAAGGGCTGTGCGTGTGGTCTTAGTTCGCAACCCGGAAACTTTTGCCAGAGGGCCGTGCATAATACTGTGAACCTCCCAAAATAAATAGAGCAATGGCTAGAACAACCAGGAAAGTCACCAAGGTCATGGATTGGTTTAAGTTGCCCATTTTGGAGTAGCTTGAATTAGATGAGCAGAAAGGCTTATATATATATATATATATATATATTTATCGTTGCTAAGCTTTTTCGTGCATGAAAGGGTTGGCCGGCTTGTCAACAGGGATTTTGTACATCCTGTACGGGGTCAGTTTTTGTTGGATGAAACATGAAATTGCAGGCTGATTTTCATGATTACTCGTATTTTTTGCTTGAAAAGTATTCCAGAAATTCTGTTTGCCGGCTACTTGTTGCTGTTGAAATGGAAGACCTGATTATTTATGTATTTATTTATTTTTGTTTTAGCGCGGGAGAAAAGAATGGGGTGTGGTGCAATCGAATTATACTAGGTTGGCAATATATTTGACAAATCCAAATTCAAGTTACAATGTTAATGCAATATTTCAAAGTAGGTAACGTCTCACGTACACTTGGAAATGATTGACTTGTTAAGGATGATTTTGCTAATAGACTTCCATATAACTTTATCTAAATAATTTATAACAATGTTACAAGCAAGAAGTAAAATTTCCGTTCATTAAAATGACAGAAAGTACAGAAGAGGACGAGACAAGATGAGTTAAAACTATTCCTCATACAAAATGTCAATATAGCATTAAGTCACTGACTGCCTGTTCATTTACAATGCAGACAGGTGTTAGCAATATACAACACAGAAGGGAAGATAAATATCCTATTCCAGAAGTGCTATTCATGGTTTTCATGTCGACCATGGCCTTACCTATATATGTATAACAGATTAAAAATATTTGCTAACACTACAACCTACATGCTTACATCAAAGATAAGGTCAACTGGAGAATTCATCCAAGGATACTTGTGCCTGACTCACTCTTGTCAGCACTGTAGAAATGCAGCAATTTTAGGGGCGATACTTTCTCCTGCAACCAAGAAACACTAAAGTTAAAACGAATATAAGGTCTCTAAGTTTCCTTTGATATAAAAGAGGAAATGGTGAGCAAAAGTCTGAAAACCTGAACCATCTCTCCGGATTGATAAGAAAAATGAAAACCTGTTGAACAATTCTCCAACATTTCAGGGTTTTTCATCCATGCTCTATGAGCATCACTTACTTTTATCTTATATCTAAACATCTGAAAGGGAAATAAAAACTATGTTAATCAACATAGATATATGCCATTTGAATAACATATGCATACTTAGTTCAACTCATTTTGAAAGAAATGAACCCAAAAAACTTTTCTTGTACAACAGCACCTCAATGTTTTAGGATCACAAAATGCATACCTGAGAAAGAGAGACATCAGGCTTCTACAGATATATGCTACATTATTTGAATAACATATGCATACTTCGTTCTACTCATTTTGAAAGAAATGAACCCCAAAAAGTTTTCTTGTACAACAGCACCTCAATGTTTTAAGATCACAAAATGCATACCTGAGAAAGAGAGACATCAGGCTTCTCCAGCTCATCTCCCTCAACCTCAATACCAGTACCTTGGCACTCTGGGCAGAATACAGAAGAAATCAGGGTCCCTGTAGCCTTAGTCTCTCCATCCTTCCCCCTCTCATTGCATTTGACTCCATTTTTTCTCCAAGATCTTCGTTTTACTTTTGGATTAACTGAATGGTTCTCAATGCTCTCAAGGTCACAAAGAAGTATCCAATGTATAAGGCATGAAGTGTGAAATACATGGAATGCCTACATGTAAAAAAAATGATGAATGTAAATGAAACTTGAACTTAGAAGTGTAAACGAGTTAATATGTTAATCAATGCTTCAAGCTGACACTAAGAAATAGGCCATATTGACCAATATGATGCAGATTTGTGCTCCTCAATAACTTAAAAGGTGATTCAGAGCCAAATTGAGTAGAGAATCATACCCCATTAACATTTCTGCTACTGCAAGCAAGTTGTCCAGTACTCAAGTTCATGAGTGTTGCAACATCTTTCTCAGGAAGCATCTTTTGCTGACAAATATCACACATTCTTTCAGCAGCTATCCTTTGTTGCTGCCTCAACTCTCGCCTTAGAGCCTTACTTGATATAAATCTTGTGAGCATAAGCTGATCATCATATCGATCTAATTCCAGTCTTGAAGAAGCACTATTTGAAGCTGAAGAGTATTCTCCAGATGAATCATACTGATTACTCAAAGATTCACTTGTATCCTCTGGGTCAGAAGATGACTTCTTCCTTTTCTTACTAGCAGCTTCACCATTATCCAATTCCATGGGAGAACCATATGTTAATAGTGATTTGACATCATCAAGCAATCCCTTTCTGCCTAGATCGCAATTATAAACAAAAGTGACAACAGCAAAGTCATGCTTAGGAACCTTCAACTTATCATCATTTCTTGGAGCCTCTTTCCCCAACCATTCACACCATATTCTTCTAATCTCATTTGAGACTCCATCCTTCTCAGAGAACCTGGCTGAAATTTTCCCAAAACCAGTAAAATTCACTTTCAAGTCAGAAACTTCATCCTTGATTAGCACCCCTGGAATCACCAAACCAGAATCCCCTGCTCCACCATTCACATTCTTGTTATAGGAACTAACTTGATTGCCAACATATTCCACAACAGCAAGGTTCTTATCATTGTTTTCAAACTCCAGCAACCTATTTTCGTTACCATTTACAGCAACCAACTGTTTCTCTTTTTCATTCGACTTACTAAAGAACAGAACACCATCATTGAAAGGCCATGGATTAGTTCCTAGCAATGTAACCTTAGCAGCCACTAACCTCTCTGTGTGAAGGCTACCCTTCAGATGATCAAATAACACTGAATCACTATAACATGGTGCAAGACACAAAGTGCAGAAGAATATGAATCGCTTCCTATCCTCACGAAGCTCTATAAAAGTATGCCCTTGCGATCTTACATTGTTAAGAGTAGTTCTTGCTAACTGTTCCTTTAGACTACAAGCACTTGTCCTTGGAAATCCTAACTCCCTCCTTTCCGCCATTCAAATTTTCCCACGAAAACAATATGATTAAAATCCAAACCCTAGTAATCCACAATTCCACCTAGTGTAAATTCAAATTCAGTTTGTTTATTTTACCTTTATAACATTTTACAAAAACGTAAAAGCCCTAACAGAAACAAATTTCACAACAACTTCATTTGAAGGTCAAACATCATTCAAAGCCATAACCTTCAAATTAGCATGCTTCTTCAACTTCTTCCACACTTGAAAGGTTAAGCATTTTCAGCAATTCCACATGAAACCCTAGCCAAAGGAGCGCTAATTCCACAAGTACCTAAAAATTCAATTCACCGATTCTTTCAAAAATAAACTTCTAAATTCTCAGAGAATTTCATGAAAAAACCCTAGATATCGCTACTTCAATTCTTCAAAATTCCAGGTTTAAAGCAAAGAAATAGTCAAAAAGTCAAAGCAACGAATTTCCAAAAAAGAAAAAAATCACTAAAACTAGAAAAACACTTTAACAATTTCCAACTACAGATATTCGTGGAGTACTAGGTATTGCATTCTTAACAAACCGTCGTGTTCGAACAGTGGCAGATAAAGCCTCGAAAGCCATGGAGTGAATAGAATGCGAGCTGCTCGAGCGCCAATCCTCCATAACCATCTCCATTTCTCAGAGCAGCAAAGAGACGAAAAAACAGATAAAGGAGGTTGTTCGGATAACGGGAAAATTGAAAAAAGAGAAATTACAAAAGAAAGCGAGAGACAATCAGAGGGAAAACTGAAAACTTAAACAAAGAAACTTTCACAACAGATTGTTTAGAGGATTTTTTTTTTTTTTTTTGGCCAGAAGGACTTTCGATAATTTTATCGAGGGTTTCGAGGCGCGAGATACTTGTGTCTGAAATTAATCGACAACATCAAAATGATATTATACGAAAAGGAAGAAACTTGTAAAAATCTCTGTTAATTATAGACCGTTGGATAACCGGCTGTCAGAGTTGTTGATTGGGATGAACGGTTCGCGATTCAGGTCGTAAAATTATTGAAATGAGTAACCGGATAATTGGATACCGCGCAAGAGAATATGCGTAAAGATTAGGACAACTAATTTTTAATTTTCAAATTGCTTTCTTATTTTACAAAATTTTTTTGTTGTACAGTATTTAATTAGGAAAGGCAGTTGGCAATTGTTTGGTCGCCAGTGAGTACTTTCTCATTCTTTTATTAAAATAGTAATTTTACTTCCCTTTTAAATTAAGAAATGAACGAAATAAAACCAAATGTTGACGCTGATCTTGCAACCGGCTGTGAAGCCTCGTCTTTTTGTTTTTTTGATTAGTCAAGGAAGGGCAGAGCCTTACGTTAAAAGGGGGAGGGAAGGTTGTGATCGAATTTCAATCATGTATTTTTTTAAGATTTATTTGATCATTAAATCAATAAATTAAAAATAAAATCTCATTTTTTTTTCTTAGGATATTCAACTTTTTCTCTTTGAATATTCACATTTATCTCAAATTGAATTAATATATATCCCATAACCAATTGAATCAGTTGTGAAATACATTATTATTTTTATTTATTAAAGTATTTTTTTTTACCTATAAGTTTAAATAATTACATGGATTTATTAGATAAAATCTGTAGAATAAGCCCGAAAGGAATTAGAAAAAATTAAATTATAATTATGAAATCTTTATTACATAAAAATATTATTATTAAATTATTTCTAATCAATAATTTATTAAGATATGAATATTGTACAAAATGTTGAGTTTGGTATATGTTTATATTCCTACTTGTAAAATAAACAATTAATCTTTTTAATTAAAATATAGATATGCATGCTAAATATTTAGATGTTTATTATAAGAATAAGAATAGTAAATATGACTCGAAATAAGAATATCATTTATTAATCACTTTAAGTGTTAATGGTAAAATTCTTATATAATAGTTATATAAGTGATCATTTGACTTAAGTTTATTATCTAATTTATATGACAAGTGTTACATTTTTATATTATTTTGCTAACCATAGATACTTAGTAAGGTAGCTATTAGGTATGATATGAATCATTTAGAGATAGAGAAGTGATCGAAATAGGATTCATTATCCTGAGTGATCATATAAATTATCTTATTATTCTTAAGAATGCTTAAGTTATGAAATCTCTATTTAGTTAGAAATGAAGTTATAAATATGGTTAAAGTTCATTCGAAAAGTTAATAGAATTTATATTTAAGAATTATTATGGTTGGATGCATATAGAGTATATATTAAGACTCATTTGTTTCATAGAATTTGTCTTTTAAAAATGTTTTCAGGAAAATATTTAATTTTTTTGAAACATTAGAGATTTTTTATTATTTGGATGAGTAAATATTTGATTTTTTTTTAAAAAAATTGTCTTTTCAAATAATATTAACATAAATGTTAAAATATTAAAAACTATTTATTATTAAAATATGTTAAATTTATTTATTATTAAAATAATTATATTTTAATAATAATATTTAGAGAAGAGATCCACTTAAAACATTAATATTAAAAATATTATATTAATATTGAACATTTAAAACAAAACTATTTATTATTTATTTATTTTAACCCAAACATCATTGCATATATTATAAAATAGAATCAGGATTACAAATAGAGCTTGGGAGAGCATTCCCTCGAAAACTCTGTTCCCCTACCCACAAACCAATCTTTGCTAATTCATTTGCAAGACGATTAGCCTCTCGACTGAAAATTTGCTGCTAATGCCGTTATATCCATAAGCCAATTACCCGCTGACCAAAGCGAGCCATGCGCGTTTCTAATTTCCTTTATTGCCAGCATAGATCACTCTCCACTATCACTCGCTCTGCACCCTGTTCAAAAGCTAGTTGAAGGGAACTTTCAATCCAGTCTACCCAAGTCATTACTGAAAAAACCTTTGAATCCCTAAAAACAACACCTAGCTCAGCTTCTTGTTTTCTGTCCCTATACGCTGCATCCACATTGAGCTTTACCATAGCCAGTACAGGAGGTTGCCTACTCTGTCTTTGTGGCGTGCTCGAGATCGTATATAGTTGGTTGGGCAACCGGTTTTAGCCTTTCCCTCGTCCTCACGCGGGCTGTTTCTACCAATGATTTCCACATAGCACATGCTCCTTGATGGAGGCATTTATTTCTATTATTCCATAGTAGCCAAACAACATGCATGCATAATTCAAGACAGTTTACTTGTAAGGTCCTTGTCAGAAATTCAAACCAAAAATCTTCAGGTGAAAAATTGCCTGACATAGAGTGTATCGATGGCCATAACTGGCTCCATATCACATGGCTTATATTACAGCAAATGAAAATGATGCCAAGTCTTCTCAGAATTGCCACACACCCGAGATTGGCCATTCATCTGCAAATCCCTCCTATTCAATCTCTCAGCAGTTGGTAGGATATTGTTTACTGACCAAGTTTTCAGTTTTGGAGGCACCCACTAATACTTTATTTTATTTTTTTCCATAAGACTTCTAATATCATATATACTAATATCATAATCTATATATATATATATATGTATATAGTTTATTGATAATAAGAAGTAGCAAGCTCATAAAATTATAAAATAAAAATAAAACTATGACAAAATTAAATTTTAAAGAGTACCAATACTTTCAAATTAATGGTAAAATATCTAATTATACAAGCTTTCAATGAATTATGAAAACTGTTTTTATTATTTTGATAATTTAAAATTAAAAAATACAAATAAATCATTTGTTAAATAATATTTTATTAAAATAAGAAAAATAAATATAATTTTTAAAAGAATGAAGTTGAAATTTTGATATTCAAAGTTGTGATCAAATCTTCTATAGAACAGTTTTAATCTTTTTTTTTCTTTGAAAAGTAGATTGCATGACAACATTAAATAAAGATATGGAGTAAAATTAAAAGTAAAAAAAATTACATGGAAAGGAGAAATTATAGTAAATTATAAAACAAGGGAAAAAACACTATATGATTTTAGTCCCTCTTAAATTATAATGCATAAAATTAAATTATGAAACTAAAAAAAAAAAAGAATAATTATTAGAATAAATATAATAAATATAGAATAGTAATATGATTTTAATCTTTCTTATATTCCAATGCAAAATTAGATTATGAAACATAAAATAATAAATAAAATAATAATTTTAATTTAAAAGGGATCAATTTAAATATATATTAGTGAGCAGCCCTAGTTCCCCCTGGTTCTTTTTTGTTTTGTTTTATTATGTATTGTATAAGTATATATAACGAAGATGAAAAGAAAAAAAAGGTTAGAAATTTAAAAATAAATATTATTTGAGTAAAATTAATGAGGTGGAAGCTAGCAGTAACAAATGAATAGATATTCCTAGCCATACTACTATATGTAGAAAGCAGATTTTAATGCTTGCTTAGGTTGTATGGCTGAAACCTAGTTATTAGGGTCAAGTTCTCTTGTAGGGGTTCAAAGACATTCTTAATCAGGGATTCCTTGATTGATAGCAACTCAGGGAACTTTTTCTTTAACTTAGACGCATTTAACTTATTATTACTTTGAGGAGCAACTATCACGTTGGCTTGTTCTTCAAATGTAAAGTTCACCCACTGAAACTTGGGGTTAATATAAGTCTTGTACATCTCTAGGATCTCATTGTGGCTTACAACCCCAGGGTTTTTGAAGTTCCATAAGTCACTTAAGTTCTTTTTTACCGTCTCAATGGATATTGAAAGAAGTTCATCCAAGGTTGTCAAGTTGTAGGGAATATTGACCACCCTGTTGTAGCGTGAAATCTTGGTGATGAAGTTGCATGGATTGCTTAAGTTAGAAGAGATTGGCATCTGAACTCTGAGGGTGCAGACATTGTCATATCTTTTAATAGCTCTTCAACCTAAAAAAATGCAAAAAATTTATGAGTACTTAAGACAAACTAACAAACAAAATGTGAATCAGACTAAAGATATCCAATGTAGTTATCATAGCCTTGGTTTTAAATAGAAAGAACTGATGAAATTGGGTTTGTCTTTCTCTTTAAAGCCAATGCTAGAGCCCTTAAGATGTGTAGCATCATACTCAAATATACACTCAGTAGCAAAATTCATCATCAAAAGCCCATGCTCTCTACAAACATTTGCTAAGGTCAAGGTTCCAGCTACATTGGTGTGAATTATTTCTATTTTGTGAGATTCACACCAATCAACATTTGGTTTACCAGTCACACAAGCAGCATTAAAAGCATGGGTTGGCTTTATGTTTTGAATATCTACCATAAGTGATGAATGATCTTCCAATCATCCTCTTCCATATTCAAATGATCTTTCCTTTTTTTTTTCCTCTATTTTCTTTTTAAAAAGTTAAAAAAAAGTAAATAATTTTGGTAAACCAAAATTGAATCAAGCTTTCATACAATTATATTCTCAATTTTTTTTCATGTATTTTTCTTTCAATTTTGGTTTTCTCTTATTTTTTCTATGTTTATGCTTTTGGGTAAAAGTTTTTGCTTCTTTTAGTTGTTGAATTGAATGCCGAATCAACCAATCTAAACAATGCATTAATAACTAAACTTATATGAACACATTTTAATCTCACAAAAAAAAACCTACAAATTTTATTCACCATAATAACCTAAAAAAAACAAAATTAAAAGCAACAAAAATAAAAAAAGATGAGTTTTGATTACCTATAAGGGAGATTATCATCAAAAGTAAGCAATATTTTAAGCTTGGCTCCTCCTTCAGAAGCCAAACCAACATGCATCTCAACAGCCATAGCCTTCATCACTTGCCTTAACCTCCCAACTATGGTTTCAAAATTTTCTTCCAACTTTTTCAAAACTCTAACTACTATTTTCCATTTCCTCCTACTCATTACTCTCTTTCCTATGACCAACGCTGCCACTACACAAGTC